CAGCTGCACACCTACGATGTCAAACCCGACGAGGCTGTGTCCGCCTTCAAGACCAGAGTGCAGCACAGAGAGGGAGTTCCTGTGAGCCAGCAGAGACTCATCCACCAGGGCCGGGAGATGATGGAGGGGACTCTGGCGGACTACAAGGTCCGGGAAATGAGCACCATCGACATGACTATGCGCCTGAGAGGAGGCTGAGGACACCTGACACAGTTATTATACTGGAATTATGGTGTACATGCTTTTATTTATTGTCAAAGAAGACAAATGAGCTTTTTAATTAACATTTGGAAAGGCAGTACATTCCTTTTGTGTAACTTTGCAATAAAGTTACTCCTACTGATGCTTTATTGTCTTTCTTTATGTTTTATTGCTGCTTTTTACTGTTTTCTTAAGCACCTTGTAACTCCAGTTATGAAAGGTGCCAATGACACGTCTCTCTTTTGGGGTTAGTCAAAAATAAAGCTGTAAACCGTAGCATTCCAACCACAACGTAATTACTGATGCAACAATAGAGACGACGACAGTGGACTACTTCCAGCTGCGGAGGGACAGCTAGCTGTAATTTAACACAGGTTAGTACAAAGCAGACCAGGGCAGATGAACAGACATCCTGCTCCCTGCGAGGTGGTAAGTTATCCTTTAAAAGTGCTTTTGTGTCTCTATCGATAAAATGGAATAACTGTCAGTTTTTCCTCTGGAAAAAAATGGAATAAAATGAGCACATTGACAGAGCTGTGCGAATATGACTACACCATGTCTTTTGCTAATCCATCATGTTAATCGAAGTTTGAAATGACGAATTTGTTTATTGGACTACTATTGTCCGTAGCGGATATTTTAGTTGGCAGGCGTTCAGATAGATTGCAAATGCTTCCGATGTGACAGGAGCAAAAAAACAAAAAACAAAACCTTTGGAATTAAACATTTGCCTGCAAGCACGTCCTGGCTAATGGCTACCAGTCGCTCGCTAGCTAGTTTGCTACACAGTCAAGGCTAAGTACATGCCCGCGGGAGAGCTGAGTCATCACCCAGAGTAACGGCTTGCTTTTTAACCGTCTGCACGGTGAGTCCTTAACTTATAAAAGAACATGTTAATGGAGTCTAAAATAAGACTTGGATGCTCATATTTGCTTTATATATCGAACGTGTATATAGTGAATCTGAGTGTTTGAGGGGAGATATTTCTGTTTGTAGGGCGTTGCGTCATGAAACAAGCTGGAATGCCGTTTATTTCTGGCATCCTGTTCATCGAAGTTGGAAATGACGAATTTGTTTATTAGACTACTCTTGTCCATAGAGAATATTTTAGTTGGCAGGCGTTCNCCTGTTACATGAGCATCTCAGTTTACAACTTTTGCAAAGCCTACGTTTTTATGTGGTTCTGTTTTATCCATGCACATTCAGGGCTTTATACTTGAGGGGCGACACAGTGAAGGAAGGTGACTGTGCTGAAGAACTGCTTCAGCTCTCAAAAAAAACAGTTGAAGAATATTTTGTGGCACCACCAGGTAAGAAAACCAAGTAGATTTGATGATTGTACATCTTTGATAGATTAGTAATCATTACATTTTGTTTGTAAATGCAGTATTTCTAAGTAGTATTTGTTTTCTTGCCACAGGAAATATTCCTCTACCGAGGAGGGAGGAGAGGGCTGCCATGCTGAAACACTCAGAGTTGTGATGTTAATGAATTTGCTGTTTCATATTTATTACAATGCTTTCTTTTTATTTGAAGACTGGAAGGTTCTTTCAGGATCTGCAGCATGTGTCCTGCTTCTCTGCAGTCAAAAATAATTTATGAAAAACTGTACAGCAGATTCACATGTTCTGCAACAGGAAAAATAAAAAGCTGCTTGTCATTGACACAGATTTTGTTGCTCAGTTTCATTGGACTGTTTTGTTTTGTTTTTCTTTTAGTTTCAGTATCGTTTTATGAAAATGATGAGTCAGGAATACATTGGCAGCCTGTGTTATGCAATTTTCAGGTAAAATAATGTTAAGTTTGTATTTCCAGCCCTGGGAAGTACCTAAAAGTACATTTGCTCGACTATTGTGTAGTATTTCTATTTAATGCCTCTTTATACCTAATCTCCACGACATTCATCTGACAGTTTAGGATTATAACACCCGTTTGTTTTTATTTTGATTTCAGTGTCATTTAGCAAAAAAAGGAAAAAAGTTAGCAATATAAGGTTGATGAAGAAATACAAACAGATTATGTTGCGCCCTTGTGAAAGTGTTAATTGAAGAAGAACCATTCGAAAATTTGTCTGAACCAAATTTATTCTCTAGGACTTGAAATTAACATTCCAACAGTACGCTGTGATCTAAACCTTAGAAATTACATAGAATAGAACAGAATAGAATAGAATAGAATAGAACTTTATTGATCCCTTTGGTGCAAACCTCAGGGAAATTGTTGATGTTAATGTACTGTATGCTGTTTTTTTTCTCCCACCAGTATCATTTGATATGAACTTATATGTAAAATAGAGGTTAAACCATAAATAGATATCACAAATCACCTATATAGCATTTTATAAGGCTCATTTTCTGGACAAATGAGGACTTCCTTTTGTGTTTGGGCTCCGTCGATGAAAGCCTTTACGAGCAAAACTCCCCCAGCAGCTACTACCTTAAGCCACACTTGTAATGATGAATCATAAAGGCGTGGATGACAGATTCTCTAACAACAAATTTGTGTTTGGCGCCATGTTTTTTTTGCTCATGCGCTGACGTATAGGGGACGGGGGGCGGGAGCATGGATTGGCAG